AAAAAGCGACAGTGTTTCCATAATTATAGCAAGTGCCTCTGATGATGGTTGTGTCAAACCGAAACATGTAAGGCAGAAATAATAATAAAAAAAAGGGACCTACAAATTGTTACACTCGACGGACTTTCTATTAACTCTGTCTAGAAAATTACTTTATTCCCTTAATGGGTTGTAATCTCAGTGAAGCTTCTCCCCACCAATAGATGGAGCATGACCACACACACCATTAACGTACTGTTCTGGACATTTAGAAATTCATTTACATGACTAAGTAATTCTGAACTGCAATTCTGGTCCATTTGGAATTGGGTGATCTTTACCACCATAATCCCCTGAAAACAATCCTCATTATTTTTTGTGGGCTTCATTATGTCTACAGCAATTATTCTCAACATACAGGTGCAACACACCTGAAATGCAAAATATGCGGTCACCAAAAATACTGGTAGATGTTTGCGGTGGATCATTAAAAATTTCCTTGTCCATGTAGGTCACGTTGAGATGGATGGTGGACATATTGAGCACCATCTGAAATAAAGGTGAAGGGAAGCGGTGGACACGCTGGACACCTACACTAGATTTGCTACCTTAACATTAACATTAACATTAACATATACAATAATTGTTATCTGTCCTCCATACTGTTCACACAGTAAACACACAGCAAACACAACAGTACAAATAACATACTCTAGCTTATAATCCACACAAGAATATATTAGCAGCAACCTACTTCAACTAAACATGCTACAAAATGAATCAACAAAGGTGTCCTGTTATCACTGCTGAAGATGGTAATCGACGTATTGCAATAGCAGTCATAAACACTATATAGGGAAAGGAACTGTTCAACCGAGTGCATGTACCTACCTTTGTAAGTGACCATCCACATTATGTCTGAACCACAAGCATAAAAATAAATCACATAAGTTACCACACCATTCATTCCTACATTATTTAATCATGCTGTCTAAATTGCAGGAGTCTATGCTGTTGAATGAGATGGGCAGAATAGTGAGTAAGTAAGGCAACAGAACTGGTAGCCTATCTTTGAATTTGTTTGGAGAATGAGAAAATTCACAAAAAATCTCAGGATAGCCAGTAACCCAGCTCAGAATAATCTCAGTACTTATAAATCTAGCGTGTTACTGCTACACTAATCTGCTCAGTATACCAAGTGGTGACAAAGTTATGCTTCTAGCTTACTGATTCATGCTTTAAAAGCCACAAATTAGTACAGGTTTGTGACTGACAAGTTCAATTTCAGTTTCATAGGCAGCAGACTTATTTATTCATGGTTTATTTAATGATAATAATGTCAGTAGTTGAGGCTATATGTATACTGTCAAGGCGATACTGGATTAATACAAACTAAATTCATAATCACCTGACAACTTCTAATAGAGAATAACACATCCCACTAGAACATTTGTCCAGAGAGGCATATCTGTCATGTTAAGATCAACAGTCAGTAAATAGGTCACAAATGGAAATAACACGATAAATGATATAATGATATAAACTCCGTCCCAAGTGCAAACAATATATTATGTGTCCTTGATCTTGCTCCTTTACACTACATGTTTCGGCATCAGACGGCCATCATCAGGTGTATAACACTCACGTTGCTGTCATACTGCACTCAGCCCAAAATTTAACATTTAAAAACACTTTCCTTCTTATTATCAACATCTACTTCGTTGGTATCTGTCTGGTTTGTAGTTTATTTTACACACGTTAATTTTGACTTTCCTGTAGTAGCACTATAAAATATTTAGTTCTAATTTTAAAATCCTTTAAAATTTTTCTCTAAATTTTAAAATTTAAAATTGTTAGGGTTACTCGCCCTATGTCTAAAGTGTAGCAACTGCACTAGAGCATACCCATGGTTTAGCACACAACATAGTGCATGCTCATTTGAATTTTCGGAAAGTGTGAGCTCAGTGAGTGCCCAGAGAACTGAATGATCAAGAAAAAATGAAGAACCGAATGGGTCTCTCCTTGCAACATCTCTTAGAGTATGCAGATGAAGGGGAAGATATGCTTAACAGGATTGTTACTGGGGACGAATCATGGGTGCATCACTGTCAAGCTGAATCAAAGCGTCAGTGCAGTGGAAACATCTAAGTTCACTTTCAGCCAAAAGTTTAAGGTTGTGCCATTATCTGGGAAGGTTGTGCTTATCATATTTTGGGGTTCTCGGGGAGTACTGCTGGCCCATTTTCAGAAGCACGGTGATTCTGCGTCATACTGTGAAGTTCTGCTGAAGCTTCAGGATGTAATTCGCAGGAAACATCCAGATCAACTGGCAAGAGGGGTACTGCCTATCATGACAATGCCACACCACATAAAGCCAGAGCAACCCAAGATAGAATTCAAGTACAGTGGGAACTTCATGCTCCATGAACATCCACTTTAC